AGAAAGAAAGAGAGGCACCAGTGATTCAAGTTGAAGTTAGTCATCGTAAACATTCGCCCCAAATACTCTGACTTTATATGAAGCTCTGCAAAAAATAGAAACTGGCAAACTCTCATCATGCCCCACTCACTGAGGGACTGGAGGATTAGAGAATCTCCAAGTGAAAAGGGCTCGCATCCAAATTCCTCCAAAGCGTTCAGGGGCTGGAGAAACACTGTGACGGAGTAACCCCATTTGCTGGAAAAACATGAATGAACAAAGTAACATAAATAGATAGAATGACTGTGATTCCTATGTATGTTTTCCTCTTGGTGAGGATTCTGCTTTCTCTGCACACTTCAACATAACTCTTGAGTAAAGTGCATGCTTCAGCTAAGTGTGGATTTACTCGGCTTTGTGCATGAGAGGAGAAATGTAGTTTCTGACACAAGGGAAATGTCTGATTCAATGGGAAATTTTCTAAAGCTCCTTTGCTGCAATTCTTACTCACTGGCAGAAATACACATAGTGCATCAAAAAGATACACTCTATTCAGTTTTCAAAATAAGTTCCAGCGTTGACTCAGCAGTAACAATGGGGGCAGAAACAAAGTTATTTAGGCACTACCGGAGGAATATTCTTCTGGAACAATTTCTGTGATGTTCTGAACATTTTACTGATGCTTCTGAGACAAATGGATTGAACTAGAATAAAAAATATTTTTTATGCGTTTGGTCTGTGCTGAATAAAGGTGCACATGTTCATTATTATTAAACCATTATTATTATATTGACTTTTATCATATTTAGTGTGATTCAGATCTTATAGTTTGTTTTTTCTGTGTTTATCTGTGGAAGGATGTGACCAACATTGTCTGCACAGCTACTGGAATGTGTCCTCCTTTCTTTTGCCAAAATGCAATTACCCAAATAATACTTCCCAAGATGTGAAGTAAAATACTTTGTTTTTATGGTTTTTAAAGGGTCCCATGCAGCAGATAGGATACTACAAGGGCAATCTCCTCTTATCTCCCATACTTGACAAAGCTGATTTGCATATAATTAAACACATTTGGAGTTGACTGAATACAAACTATTTGCCTCTAAGGTACTCTGGAGAAATGCAATCAAAAGTGAACTAATTTGTCAAGACGTAAAATGTTATGATTAAGCATGTATTTCCTTGCCTTCAGGACACTGTTCAGATTTCCATTTAATGAGAGATGCAGCAAAGGGTTCTAATAACTACACAAAGAATGTATACAGGAATAATTCCACAGGGCAGGACACACATACACACTTGCATGTATAATTTCACTGAGACGGTACCATCAGCTTTTGCAGGAGCAATGATGATTTTTTTTTTAAAGGAATATGTGTGATTCTGTGTGTCTGAAACCATGTCCACCCCTAAGATGGCCAAATTTGATTGAATTTGAAAATTATGTGCATCCACATAAGCATTTTAGGGTTGCTTTTGTAAAGATGTACACAATAAGAAATAGAAAAAAATCTGTAAAAAAACTAAATCTGTTTTTCATCTTATTTTGGTCAGCAAACTTTCTTTCTTTTTCTTTTCTTCTTTCTGCTTTATCCACTCAGGAGAGCATTTTTGAAAAGCTCAAGTAACAGATGTAAAAAACAAAACAAAACAAAACTTAGTCTGGACGGAGGGCCAAAACTGAGAAAAAAAAATATTTCTTTGTTTATTTAGTCAGCTAGGTATGAGTGTACTCTGAGAGACAGAGAGAAAGAGAGAGAGAAACTTGGACTGTCATCTTTGTGTTACAATGCCTTTTTGTAACATTGTGATTGTGCAAATATGCACACATTTATACATTTATTAGTCTTATT